TTTCTCAAGGAAAAACCAGAAACAAAAAACCTTACCCAGGGTACTTTTTTCATGTCTGTCCTCCTTCTCACTGGAACTTACCTGCCTTATGGAGCACAAGGATGGTCTTTGTGGTCTCCTCCTTACCAAGTAGGTCACACAGACCCACAGACGGGCTGTGTTTCTCTAAGAAGATGTCTGTTGGCTTGCGAATACCAGACAACCATGTCTGAAATTCCAGACACAAGAGAGCCCAGAGAACAGGGTGAGGCTGCCTATAACGGCCTTGACAACTAAACCGCCAGTGGTTTAGAATCTTAAAAATCATAGCACCATGGAGACTGAATCACAGAATTTTGGGTCTGGGTGCCACGAGAAACCTCACATAATCTAACACCTTAACAACAACAACAAAATCCTTATTTACAAAAAAAATCCTTATTTACTGATTAGAAGTTTTTACCCATGTAGATTGTTTGTTTGAACTTGAACAAAGGGATAAGAGTGGAAATACCTTGTTTGGTTACCTGGTAAAAGCATAAAATAAACTTGAAACCCTGACATACCAGCAGCTATGGGTAAAAAGGAAAATTATTTGGTCATGAGAATCAGAAGCATTTACTGGATCAGGATTTGGAGATGCTGAAAGTGGATAATTGAAGGTAATTGAGGCGGGTTAAGGAGATCAACACAGCTACTTCCTTTATCACTTCCCTTGAAATTTCTTCATAATTCAGACTTTCATTAATTTGCCTTTGAATTTAACATACAAGATATGAACTTTATCTTAACACAGCTACTACTTCTGAAATCAAGTTCTCATAATCCCCAGTCTGTAACAGCTTGCCTTGTATATCTTCATGACTTTGCAAAGACAATAGATACCTAAATATGACACCCAAAGCACAAGCAACAAAATGAAAAAATAGATAAATTGGATTTTATCAAAATTTTTATATTTTGTGCTTCAAAGGACACCATCAAGAAAGTGAATAAATACAGATTAAAAAAAGGGAGAAAATTTTTTGTAAATTATATATGATAAGGAATATATAAAGAATACGTAAAGAACTCCAATTGAAAAGAAAAATAACCCAATTTAAAAATAGATCTAGGATCTGGCCACTTTTGTAAAGAAGACAAATGACCAAGAAGCACATGAAAATATGCTGAACATCATAAGCCATCAGGGAAATGCAAATCAAGATCACAGTGAGATAACCATCTCATATCCACAAAGATGGCTATAACTGAAAAGAAGGACCACAGAAACTATTGGAAAGGCTGTATAGAAATTGGAAGCTTTACACACTACTTTCCTGATAGAAATGCGAAAAAGTGCAACTGCTTTAGTAAACATTCTGACATCTCCTCAAAAGATTAATTCACTTCTAGGTATACATCTGAGAGAAATGGAAACATATATCCACCCAAAAACTTGTACACAGATGTTTATAACAGCATTATTCATAGTAGCCAAAATGTGGAAAGAACTTAACTGTCCATAAACTGATGAATAGATAAAGAAAATCTGGCATATCCATACAACAGAATATTATTTGGCTATGAAGAGAAGTGACACACTAATACATATTACAACAGGGATGAACCCTGAAATACTACGCTAAGTGAAACAAACCAGCCACAAGGACCACATGCTGTAATGTTCCATTTACTAGGCTAGGCAAATCCAGAGTCTAAGTATATTGGTGGTTGTCTAGGGATGGGAGGGCTGGGGTGGTATGGAGAGTGACTGATAATGGGGACAGAGTTTCTTTGGGGGTGATGAAAATGTTCTAAAATTGATTATGGTGATAGTTAAACCAATAATCTATTAAAATATACTAAATATGTATACTAAAACCATTGAAATGTATACTTTAAGTGGGTGAATTATGTCTGAATTAAATCTCAACAAAGCTGTTATACAAAAATGAAACCAAGATCTGGGTGTTGGGTGTGCTTATTATTGCTTTCGGAGTTTCACAGCTTCTAGGCTCTCCCAGCTGAAAGAGCAAAGAAATAGATGTGTTTATACTAATCTATGTATGCACACATGCCTGTAAATATCTGGATATATATACCCATTGGTAAGAACATTAAGCTAACCATGATTTCATACTGATGTCTCCAACTCTAATCCAATGTCACGTAGGTCATTCTAGCCTTCCCCACTTGTTTAATGGTAACCTCTCACTCTGACAGTGAGAAACCGGGCTCCCACCATCTGCCATTCATTTATTTAATTGTTCAGTTCCTGTATATGTGTATAATGGCTTCAGAATTATAAGCCCCATGGAAAATAACCTTTGTAACTAGAGTACAGTGTTTATGTATAGTTTATTTGCCTCTAGTCTTATTTCTCCACTCATTTCCAAGCTCATCAGGTCAACACCCTTTCCTCTCACCCCCTGCAGTGAGGCTGTTTCATACATGTGTAGCATGGTCCAATCCTTTTATCAAAGTTTAAATTCCATCTTGAGGTCCCCCTACTGCATAAATTACATTTTAATTGATACATTTAAAAAATGGAACATAGGTTCAAAGTTTGTGCTGTAAAGTTCTATGGGCTTTGACAATTTCATAGGATAATGTATATCCATCATTATAGCATCACACAGAAGTTTCACACCCTAAAAATCACCTGTGCTTCGCTTATTCAACTCTCCCTTCACCAACAAACCCCTGAAAACTGACACTTTTACTGTCTGTATAGCTTTTCCTTTTCCATGATGTCATATAAATGGAATCATACAGCATGTAGCCTTTTCAGATTGGCTCTTTTTACTTAGCAATATGCATTCAAGAATCATCCATCTTTTTGTGTGGCTTGATAGCTCATTTATTGTGTCACT